GTGGGTGTGTGCATGGTGACGAGTGTGTGTATCAGATTGTGTATATAAGCATATGTATTGTCATATTGCTGTTAACATTACAGCGGAATTGGAGATTCAATAGCCAATGAAGAGGAGGTAAGGAGAGTGGAAGGAAAGGGGAGGACCAGAGGAAGGCATGGCATCTGCAAGAAAGGCATGGGAACTGGAAAGCGAGCACAAAGGCGTGATGGAAAATGAAGAGAACAAAGTGATGGTGTATCTTTTGCCAAGCGAGCTGCGGAGAGCAGATACCTCGTGCCTTACCGGAGAGTGAGGACGGTCAATCAATCGAAGCTCGATTATAAAATTTGGGGAACAAGCATGTCTCGGTCTTGATGTTGGGGCTTAGGGTTTAGGGTTTAGGGTTTGTGGTTTCGGGTTTAGGGTTTAGGTGTCTATTGGCGCAAGGAACTGGATATTTATACACCGGCATTCACCTTGGTGGAGGTGGTGCTCCCTCCATGTGGGAGGCCATACCAAGATTGAGGTCTCCGTTTATTCTTGATGTTGGGGATGTTTATACACCGGCACTCGGGGTAACAATTTAATTTACCCTCTTGGGGGTTGCTTACAAGTTGTATAAAGGTGAGATTTGGGTATGGCCTAGTGCTGTCGTCCCTCGAACACGAGGAGGCACCTTGATCACAAAATGTACACAGCCTTTAGCTGCTCGTTCGATACGGTCATGATGAGGGTGCATTGTGTTCCGGGGAAGACGGCAGTCGCACCAGCTGGAGTAGACCTTTCCTCCGCCGGGAGCGCACATGCGAAGTTGTGCTGCTCGAGTCGTTGACCACATTGCAACTGGACGGCATTAGCTTGATCCTGGGTGTTGTGTTCTTATGGACATTACGCACGATCCTGGCTGTTGAAATGGGGGTCCTGAGTTCGAATCCAGATGGAACAAGGTGAACTATGGACATTACCGCGATCCGCGCCGTTGACCATGGATCGACAATGCCCGTCGACTCTCCTTCGACTGTGTCCATTTTTTCAACTGGACCTTTGCTTCTGTCAAAGACAACTGCCGCTGACTCTGCCGCCCATGGGCCTCAGGGTATGGATGGCCATTCTGAGCCCCCCCCTCCGCTGCCTCCTCGAAGAAAGAACGCGTACGTGGCTGGACATTGGCTCGCGGGGTGGAAGGGGTACTCGTTACTCGTCAGAAAAAAGAAAGAAAAGAAGAATGAGGCGTCGGAGGCAGGTTATTTGGCTTCAAATAAAGGGGATGCCCCCAGGGAGATTGCATCCAGCCAACGATATGGAAGATGACAGATGAAGTCTGACTGTGCAGACAGCAATGCGGAAGTAGAACCTCACGTTCGTCTTCCTTTGCAAGATTGTGCACACCATTTGAATTCTGTTGGCCAGTGCAGATCTCTCCCATCAACCATACCTAAAGCCTACTTCCTATCTTCTTCACTCTGGAACTCCTTTCTTGCTCTCTCCCTGGCCGTTACATGCCTTGTTCCGTTACATACCTTGTTCACCTAAAAACAGATTCCCTCTGTTTTTCTCTGGACACACGCGCTCCCCGGGGACAGACTTGTTCCGTAATTCATGAGGGACGCTGAGCCCGGTTCTTATCATGTGCTGCTTCCCACGAATAAGATCGGAGCAAAAAAAAAAAAGAAAAAAAAAAAAAAAGAACGCTCCGGACACACTCGTGGGGGGCAGGGTGTGGCCGGGCCGCTTTCTCACAGCTGAATAACCGTGCCCTATAAGAAGTCTTGAAACGATGCGTTGAACCCCTTCCGCCACTTCTCCGGGCTGTGCCACCACGCATGGCATGGTCTTATAAAAGGGGGGGAAAGAAAAAAGTCGTTCTGTGCGGGCTGTTGCTCTTTGATGAATGTTGACCAAGAAAATGGGGACATACACAGCCACAACTTCGGGCGTCTGTGGACACGGCGAGCGGTGGATGGAGGAAAGGCATATGTCTGGATTTTCTCACTGGTGGCAGGATTGCACCCCCCGACGGTCGGCGGCCTTTTGACTGGTTGGCACCTACCGGTCGGGGGTCATCGGCACCCTGCAAAAAAAAAAAAAAAAAAAAAAAAAAAAGGGGTTCCAGAACCCCTAATTGTTTTTTTTTGGGGGGGGTCCAATTGTTTTTTTTGGAGGAAAGGCATGTGTCTGGATTTTCTCACTGGTGGAGTAAAGGCTAATGTCCACATTAGTTCGATATTTTCGTCGTCGTTTTATATTTTTGGGGGGGGGTGGCGAGGGTCCATGTCCAGATTCGTTTGTTGCTTTTTTTGGTCTTTCCGGGGGGGCGGGTGTGCCATGTCTAGATTCGTTTCTTGCTTTATTTTGTTTTTCGGAAGGGGGTGAGGGCAGATGTCCAGATTTGTTTCTTGCTTTTTCGTTTTTCGGAAGATAGTCACGTGAGCACGTTCTGTCGCCAGGGGGAAAAAAGACAAGAAAGATGTTAGAGTACAAGTACATAGGGGCTCGTTAGAAACTCCTCAGGGACGTAAAATCCCCAAGGAATTGTTCGTTCCACCTATCCTATCCTCGGGAATGCAATCAAAAAAAAAAAGTGAAAACACTCGTACGGAAATTCCTCGGGCAATAGGACTTTCCCCAGCCATTTCTTCCTATTCCCTTGGCCACAAGGAATCCGTGTTTCACGGAGAGGAGAGGGCACACGCGTAGAGAGACGTTACAACCGAGAATCTGGATCGTGGCGGCAGCCTATTGGCTGAAGGCCTGAAGCACACTTGTTTTTTTTTCCTTTTCGGTCTTAGGGGATGTCCTGGGGCGACGTCCCCGAGGACAGGTGGAACAACGGCCCAAATTTCCTTTTGAACCATTAGGAAGTTTTCCTAATGCGGCAGTAATGTCCTTTTAGGATTTCGAAAGGAGTGTCTAACGACGCCCATAGATCAAAGCTGCGGGGCGTCCCCAAAAAAAAAAAAAAAAAGCTGCGGGGCTTGAATCCCAAAGCACGCGAGGCCACGTTCGGATACAAGCACATAGCTCGAAGCTGCAGAGCTGGAATCCCTACATCGGAGGCCATACTCACACTACTGTCGAACTGCCCGGCCACATGTCATTCAAAAATTTCATCGAACATGGGGCTCGCTCCACTACTTGATTTATGTGTGTCATCCCTGCACAGGGGCCATCTCTGTATCATTCCAATTTTAACAGAATTCCCGAAGCATCCTCACTCCATTACTCACCACATGCACAAAAGACGAAAAGTTCGGAGGTGTATGTTTCCATGTTCTACTAGAACATTCGTTCTCATTTTGCACATTTGGAGAGTAGTGGAGCGAGGGCCCGGGTGTCTATGATGGGCCTTGCTCCACTGGTCACCACATGCACAAAAGATTTCCCCCACCGGCAATGCCTGCCCACCCCGCATCACCGTGATGAGGGCCTGTTACAACCTTGCTCTCGCACCACTGCTGTGGTCCCCACCTACCCCCGGGGCTGGGGAGAGATCCGGGTTGGTTGGTGTTCCCCCGTAGTATATACAGACTGGTCAGGGGATGGAAGAGATGAGATAGATGAGTACGTAGATAGATTGAGATTGAGAGAAGAATATAGCTTATATATATATATGTATATATATAATATATCATCAATATGCCTGGTAAACCGTAGGCAGAGAGGGAGAAGAGGACAGGTACCTTGAGGGCAGTGGTTGGTGGTCCCCACCACCTCAGGGTATCAGTTGTCGGGCAGTCGTTGTCACTCGTTGATGCTTAACCACAGCCGGGGTTAAGGTGGATTATCACTTACAGTGTAGTCGGAGCTGCGGCGGAGCCTCTACCAGGCTACAATGTTAAGAAAGAAACTCAATGAATATAATAATCAATGAGAGAGAATATAATTTGTTTTCATTCAGTCACTTTTGACAGCGATATATATTTATTTAATTGTAGACTACCAAAGTGTGATCTCTATTCATTGGATTCTATGCATTCCATGAATAGAGTACAATGAATATAATCTAAATTCAGTATGGAGTCGATATATATATATATATATATC